GAATCAATTTTTCAGAAACTATTACATGGATGAATTTTATCTCATCCAAAATGCCATATGGATTAATTTCTGTCCACCTGGGCAAATTGTTTTTTTCAGAAGAATCGATATGGCTAAAACAAATTTTTTCACAGTGCACACGTTTGACAGACATCTGGAGAATCAAGGTAATTGTAAGTAATATGTAAGTATTATTATGTTTTACAGTTTTCTAGGTACAGGTTAGAGCAGTGTTCCCCAAACCAATCCTCAATAGTCCAGGTTTTGTCAGTATGTCTAATGGAATAATACAGGGAAATGCGTAAATCCTGGATTGTTGGTGGGCCAGGAGGACTGGTTTGGAAACCATTGGGTAAGAAAAATCCATTGTCCTTTAGTCAAACGCTAAACTCTTGGCCTAAATATGATAGCCTATGAACTAAATACTGTAACTTCTAAACTTAACTTCCATAACCCTGGACTAACCCTGATTTATAGCTCAAACTCTTACATACTTTATAGACTTTAATCCAATATGAGCTCATCAAGGACTGTAAACCTTACACAGACCAGGCTCAACACATGACAATGATGGTAGCAGACAATTATGAATGGTGGTCAAATGAATGGGGCTGACATAAAGCAGGGACTAAATGAATGCAACATCATTTCAAAATTGACATTTAGACCAAGCTGATATGATGCACATCATTAAATGTCAACATTCCAAAAGCATATCAGCTGTGTAAGTGTGAGGTATACAATAAAGCTCTTCATTTACATCATTGTATGTGAGCAGAAACAAAAAAAAAATACAGTATAGCATCATATAGACATCCACATGTTTAACAATTCTTCTAAAAGTGTGCATGTCATTCTGAATACTTGATATATACATTGTTCTAGTCAAATTGCTAGCTCATGTATAGATAAAATAGCAAGGCTGGATCTGTCTTAATAATAATAATTAACACTTTATTGAATCTTATAAACAAAATAGCAACAAAAAAAAATCACATGGGTATGTGTGATAGTATTTTTTTTTTTATAAGTCTCGCATGTGTAATCAATCTCAAAAGAGACTTAAAGGGACTCTATAGGCACCCACGATCCTTTACTGTCCCTGTCATTTAACTAGGTGTTTTGCAGGAATGGCAAAGTCATTCTGACACTCAACCATTCAGTCAGAGACCATTTGATTGGCAATGTTTTACCGCACATCGGCAGTAGCCTCCCAAAGGTTTCCTATAGAGAAATAGTGGATTGACAAAGATCATCAGTCTTAGTGACCTCAGTCAAGAAGGTGGAACTTTGGCACAGACACCAGCTTGCTGCGGGATATGGGGTAAGTAGATCTTACTTTAGGGGATACCACCATAGGTAGGAAAACAATATAGAATTAAGAATACATGTTTGTATTCCTCATCCTATAGTTCTCCTTTAATTGCAGAAGGACTGGAGGACAAAGAGTGTTATCTGCTAGTGTTATGTGGCATAACTTCAGCAGTACTTGCAATCTTCAAATAAGTATATATTTTATCATATATTTTTTTGCCAACGCTTTCCCCAGTACCATGCATAGGCTAAATGTTTATCTACCTGACGGTGAACTTGTCATTCAAATGGTGTTTTTAACACTTTTTGATTGGCAAACAATAATTCTTCCATTGGCAATCAGACACTATGCTGTTGTGCTAGTTTCAAATATATATAAAAAAAAAAAAAAAAAAAAACTTGATTTGGCACATTACATTAAAGTAAAACAAGTGCCATAAAATAGACTTCTTTAGTTTATTAAATTGCTGTATTTTCTCCTGTTATCTGTTTCTTTAAGGTTTATGTAGAGTCCATCAATATATGGCTACATAAATGGTATGGCATAGAATAAATTGCTCTATATAAATGGAAATTGTAAATTGAACAGGATCCTTTTACAATACAGGGGTTGGATTCTCTTAGCAGAGTAAGGGTGGGTTTGTTCTGCTTCGTTAATTGTAATTCCTAATTTGAAGTCTGCTGGAAAATTGCTATTCGGTAAACCGAGTAAACCCTATGATACCAGCCCTATGATACACCTTTCTACCATCACTGTATAAATTGCAACATTATCATGACAAAGCCAAATGGTTAATTTCTTGCCCACCTGAAGCTGGCTATAAACACCTGTAAAAAATCTGTTGGGATTCGGAAAACCCCCTGTTACTAGGGGTAATCTGTTACTCTTAATAAATTAAACACATATCCTTCATTGTTTTCATGCAATGAAAACTTTAATATAATTTTCTGAATTATTTAAAATTGTAGATGAACTATGTGTTGTATCTTCGTTTCATTCAAAATCCACTAATTACCTAAAAAAAAAAATTACCTTAACAACAATGGCAGGGATACTCCAATAGAAATAATGTTAAACACTATTTACGGGGACAAGCCTGTAGATCTTAGGTAAAACATATTTTTAGAATGCTAGTAAACTAGTCAGGAAAGATAACCGTTACTGCATCAACGCCCTGTTTGTTTTATGTGTATTTTACGCAAAACACAACTTGCATTGTCTGGACTGGATTGTCATTTGCATTACATTATCGGTGCTTTGGATGCAGAGAAGTCCCAAACAATTAAAAAACGGAAACAGTTGGACACAATCCAAAAACAGCAAGAAGCAAAGGAGGACAATAATGAGGGCATCATTTATTTTTGGTGGACATCCAAGTATTCTTACTAAACATGCCGTATTTTCCAAGTGAGATGTTCAAAGTACAGTAAGTCTTCATCTCAACGGAGCTCTTTCCCCTACTAATATTACATTGATACAACATTAAATGCAATGTGTACCAATATATGTTCACACAAAAAGTATAGAAATCTGTGCAAACCTTGCGCTTACAATCAATTAAAACTCTATATATTAAAGCTGCTACCACACTTATGTGAGTTTCTCCCCAACTACACACAGAATAAAACAAGGTGAAAAAATGTGCCAAGTGGTTATGCTACCACCAGTGCATATAGTGGAGCGCTAAGAGAATATAAAATACAACACACTTACCTTATGCAATAAGGGATACCATATATAATGAGAACTATAACATAAAATAAAGCACAATATGGTGCAATAAAGTCAAGAGTGTGACAAAGTGGTTTATTGAAACTCACTCACAAGTATAGAGCCAATGGGATAGACTCAAATCACTCTGGCAGATGTGTTCAATGGGGACACTGTCCCTCTTCTGTCTTTTGTTGAATACACTCAAAAGGGAATCATCAGCCTCTGGTGAAGTATGTCAGTTGAATCTGGATTATTTTAAACCATCCAGATGTGATCCTATTGGTCCGCTCTGCCACTTACCATCCTATCACGGGCCATCATCCTGCCTGTTCTATGTTAAATTTTGTATATATTGTGTATTAATATTGTTTTTGTATTTTGTTGTACCTAATGTAACAATGCAATGATTTGTGGACCCAGGACATACTTGAAAACGAGAGAAATCTCAATGTATCTTTCCTGGTAAAATATTTTATAAATAAATAAATAAATAAATATAAAGTGACTCTGTGCACAATCTTTTAAATAAACTGCTCACCTTCTTAAGGAGCCTCAAAACTTGGCTCCAAGCGAAATAGCCTTGTGTCACTTAAGTGGGACACAACCCTCTCTTTACAGTTGAAGTAGATTTTGAAGATGGCACCAGACAATGTTTAGGAAATAAGTGAATGGCTATTTATTAATACATATAGTAGCTTAAAAAAACAATAAAAGCAATATAAATTAAAAGTCTTAGGTGCTAGATCGCCCTGAGACGCGTTTAGCCATTTTCCGTGACTTTCTCAATCAGTTGAATCTGGATTATTTTAAACCATCCAGATGTGATCCTATTGGTCCGCTCTGCCACTTACCATCCTATCACGGGCCTCTGATTCCGTGGGAGTTCATTACACCAGCTGATTCCTATTATCTTCCTCAATTGATGGAAGTGTTGCGGTCACTCATCTCTAAACTCTATTTAGTTTGTGGGCAGAAGTCCTGATAGCCGCATAGATATAGAGCTTTATGGAAATGATGTGACGGGCCAAGCGGGTCCGGTTATATATAGAAGGGGAAAAAGAGGGAAAGTGTGTATCAATCAATTAGTCAAATATATATATATTTCCATTGCCCTTCAAACATGCAACTGTAACCCCAATTCTAAAGAAACCCAATCTTGATCCTAACTCCCCATCCAACTATCATCCTATCTCGCTACTGCCTTTTGCATCCAAGATCCTTGAAAAAATTGTGTATGTGAGATTGACAGACTTCCTCGAGTCCAACTCTCTGCTAGACCCGCTTCAGTCTGGTTTCCGCGTTAAGCACTCTGTGGAAACAGCACTGACCAAAGTATCCAATGATCTACTCGCTGCAAAATCTCGTGGTCACTACTCTATCCTAATTCTCCTTGACCTGTCTGTGGCTTTTGACACTGTTGATCATCAACAGCTTCTTCTCATCCTCCGCAATATCGGTCTACAAGATACTGTTCTCTCCTGGTGCTCCTCCTACCTCTCCAAGCGCTCTTTCAGTGTTTCTTTCTCTGGCTCTGCTTCTTCTCCCAAACTCCTCTCTGTTGGTGTCCCCCAAGGTTCAGTCCTTTGTCCCCTACTGTTCTCCATCTATACTGCCTCCCTTGGTAAACTCATTAGCTCCTTTGGCTTCCAATATCATTTCTATGCAGATGACACGCAAATCTACTTGTCCTCTCCTGATCTCTCCCTGTCCCTCTTGACTAGTGTCTCTGACTGCCTCTCTGCTGTTTCTAACTGGATGGCTGCCCACTTCCTTAAACTAAACTTGACCAAAACTGAAATTCTGGTCTTTCCTCCCTCAAGTGTTGTTCCTCCTGTGTCTGTCTCCCTCCAAGTCAACGGTGCTACCATCAGCTCCACCACGCAGGCTTGCTGCCTAGGTGTTCTCTTTGACTCCGACCTCTCCTTCAAGCCTCATATTCAATCTATCGTCAAATCCTGTCATTTCCATCTAAAAAACATTGCGCGCATCCGCCCCTACTTAACGCCAGATGCGACTAAGGTGTTGGTCCATTCCACTGTCCTTTCTCGCCTTGACTACTGTAATCCGCTTCTCAGTGGTCTTACATGCTCCCAACTAGCGCCGTTACAGTCCATAATGAATGCGGCGGCAAGGCTCATCTTCCTGTCCGCCCGCACCTCCCATGCCTCACCCTTCTGTCAATCCCTACACTGGCTTCCTATAAAATATAGAGCTCAATTTAAAATTCTGGTTCTTGCTTTCAAATCACTACATAATGCTGCTCCCACCTATCTATCCTCCCTTATACACAAGTATGTCCCGTCTAGGCCCTTACGATCTGCTGAAGACTTACGGCTATCTTCTGTCCGTACTCCCACCTCTGATGCTCGCCTTCAAGATTTCTCGAGGGCTGCACCGTTCCTGTGGAACTCGCTTCCCTCCTCCGTTAGATGCTCACCCAGTCTCCATTCTTTAAAAAAATCGTTAAAAACCCAGTTCTTCATAAAAGCGTATCAGTTAAACTGTTAATAGCTCCTGACTGATCCCTCTTCTGCAACTGTCACTAGTCTAATACTATCCTTACCTTTTTGTATCATTTTACCCCACTCCCTCTAGCATGTAAGCTCATTGAGCAGGGCCCTCAACCCCTCTGTTCCTGTGTGTCCAACTTGTCTGGTTACAACTGCATGTCTGTTCGTCCACCCATTGTAAAGCGCTGCGGAATTTGACGGCGCTCTATAAATATCATAATAATAATAATAATAAATACATAATTCTATAGTATTTTTAAAATATAATAAACCGCAATAATTAAAATAAGTCTTGCATATAATAAAGTACAAAAAATGATGTGTTAATTAACTACACAATAAAAACACATAAATGAGATAGAAAATACATATATAAAAAAATATAAATAAAAATAATAACCCTGTCTTGTCCAGTTTCATTTGTATCTCAATTGGTATCTATGTGACCAGCAACCAGTGTGGTGTCCCCTTAGCATTTGGGAATGCCGCTGTAATGATGCGCGTGTGCAGCGTGCAGCGTGACAAGTGTATAACGAATTTACATCCACTCTCACCAGAAAATAACCATCTTCCCACTTTATATCTTTTATAACCTGCAAGGTGTTAATGGTGTCTTTAAGGTAACTGACACCTCTATGTACCGTAGGTTGTAGAAACCGGTTTATATATTGAGAGAGTCTGCTGTATATGGATCCGATTCCTGACACAATAGGTCTTCCGGGGGTTCTCTCTATTCTTATGCACTTTAGGCAAGTGATAAACAGGAATTCTGGGATGTGGCATGTTTAAAAATTCAGCTTCCTTTTTATTGAGTATACCTAAGGCTTTACACTTATCAATTAATTTGTTATAATTTATTTTCTATCACCGGTGGGGTCCTTAGTTAGCACTTTATAAGTATTAGTGTCCCCCAACAGTCTCAATGTCTCATTTATGTAATCCTCCCTTTCCATAATAATGATCCCCCTCCCTTATCAGCTGGTTTAACTACGAGAGTGGTGTCATCTCTTTCTTTCCCCAATGTCCAGATTGTGTTCATGTTTGTTGGGTGCTTTTATTTTCCCTAGGTCACGCATAACCAATTTTTGAAATGTAACCATCTCCTCCAAAATGCATGACCTACTGAAAAGTTTGGATCCCTCCTTCAATTCTGTATGGATAAATGATGAACCTTCGCTTGGATTTTATAAGGGGGTTCTTCATAAAAAAAATTTCAAACACAATCTTTATGTGTTAATTCTGTCTATGCCTTTAGTTGGGGCAAATTGTAATCCTTTTTGTAGCAATTTGTTCTGTGATGTGGTTAATTCTCTGTTGGTTAAATTGAAAATGCCACTGGGGTTAAGTTTCTTTCCCTTCTGTCCTTTTTGTACACGTATTCCTCCTCAACTTCTCCTTCCACTAAACTCCTCCTTTTCCCTGTTGCCATCTCTTTGCATTTCCTTTTTGTGTATGAACTCCAAAAATCCTGACTGTCAGGTGATCTGTCCAGGTGGTGTATCTATTAAAAAGTCTTGTATTTCCCCTATCTTTAAGTGGGTTAGTTTCTCTCAGGTTTTCATAATCTTTATATGGCCTATTGGGTCTTGTTGATGGAGTTCTAGTGTTACCCTCTAATCTGAACTCTTTCCTTCTTACGACTGTTTCTGGGGATTTGTGACGTTTATTGGTGACTATTGTAGGTTTTCTTTGACGTTTTTTTGCACGAATTCGAAAGTGATGTGACGCTGGACTTGTTACGTCACTTCCGTCTAGCCCTACATCTATGTGGCTGCCAGGACTTTTGCCCATAAACTAAATGGGGTTTAAAGATTAGTGACGTGGTTGGAAGTATACTGCGCCACTTCCGTCAGTTGAGGAAGATAATAGGAATCAGCTGGTGTAATGAACTCCCACGAAATCGGAGGCCCTTGATAGGATGGTAAGAGGCAGAATGGACCAATAGGATTGCGTCTGGATGGTTGAAATTCAACTGATTGAGAAAGCCATGGAAAACGGCGAAACGGGTCTCAGAAAGATCTAGCACCACAGACTTTTATTATACATTGTTTTTTATTGTTTTTTTTAAGCTACTATATGTATTAATATATATCCATGGACTTATTTGCCAAACATTGTCTGGTGCCATCTTCAGAATCTACTTCAACTGTAAAGAGAGCGTTGTGTCCCTCCTAAGTGACACAAGGATATTTCACTTGGAGCCAAGTTTTGAGGCTCCTTAAGAAGATTGTGCACACAGTCACTTTATATTTCCTGACATACTTCACCAGAGGCTGCTGCTTTGTTTTACTGTTTCCCTTTTGAGTGTATTCAACAAAAGACAGAAGAGGGACAGTGTCACCATAGAATATGTCTGCCAGAGTGATTTGAGCCTATCCAATTGGCTCTATACGTGTGAGTGAGTTTGAATATGTTAACTCACCCTTGCATAAGTTAGTTTACCTGTGTATAACAGTAACATAACACATGTCTTGTAGCTTAACCTTTAGCCCAGAAGACCTACTACAACTAAAGATACATTTTCTGAAAATTAAATAGCTATTTCTTGTTAAAGACCAAGGGAAATAGTGATTACAAATTACCAACAAGTTTTCAATCCCGTCATTAATTTTTATGTGGTTTACCGCTAGTAATCTTTTGCTGCAACTGATGAAAAAAAATCAGCTGTCATAATAACATGAACCTAGCCAAACCTAAGCCTTGGATTGACTTCAGTTTAATACACTTCACTCTGTTGTACCTGGTGTGAAAGATTGGATTGGAGCCTCTCTTTGGCCTCAAACGTGGTGTTATTGAGGGCTCCATACTTTTTTTTTATTATTATTGTTTTAATAGAGAGACAATTGACTCTCTCTGTTAGATGTATGGAACCTTTGCAGTTCTTAACTTTTTTATTTTTCAATTTTGTTTCTACCAGGTGGAGACAGGTTTTACATTTTGAGACATACTGGCTGTCGGTAGACTCAATCTTGGAAACCAGGTGGTAACCAGTCACAAAGGAGCGGTAAATGGCTCCCATTACACTCTACGGAATACGTAGTAACAGAAGCTGGTAGTCCCTGTTACTGATGGTGAAATTTCACAGTTGGGAATCAGCCGCTAACAATAGCCACAGGCAGGCTGGCTGACAAAATGCAGTGACCACACTGGAAACAAGCCATTAGTTGTGATTGTAATTAAGTGTTACAATTCTAATTTTACTTTATGGAAATGTATTTATTTACTGCAAATGCGCCCTCAATTGTTATAACATCCACTAAACATGATATGCAGCAAACTGCAAATTTAGAGTAAGATATCCAAGATTTGACTGTAGTTGAGTTGGAGAATATTTTCAAATCAGAACTTTGTGCTAAACTATTGCAATTTAAATTCTTAATTCATTACAACATATTTTTAACGAATACATGTAAACATCAGCATGATTATACATTATTGTGCGGTTCTGACAGCAATACCTACCACTACATGAATTACAACCCTGTGAGTGATATGTTCTGTGGATACTAACGTGGGCGAAGAGGTGAATGACAACAAAACAGCTGTCACTCAATCCAAGGAAACAAAACAAATCATCAACCTTTTACTGCAGAGATTAAAAATACATGAATTCAAAATCCAGGAAAAGTAACAATAAATGGTTAACACATATAATCCTTAGTTGCAATTAGCATGCATTCCCCTTCTGTCAGTAATCAACAAGTGCAGTGTAGTTCAGGATTCAAGGTTAAATGTGCTAACTATTCCACTTTAATTAATTAATAGCAATACTCCTCTTAACACCTCCTTTTTCTAAGGTTAAACAATCCTACCTTTCTTTTGACTGAATCTGTCCACATGTCTTATTAACCGTGTTAGCAAGCTTGCAATCCATTCTTTTTTAAAGAAACATTTAGAGCACCACAACAGCTTCACTGCCAGAAGGTCCCTGGAGCATCCTTAATGTTAGGGATTAATTCACGAACGGTTTAGCCCCAAAGTCTGCTCGGCAGCGCTGATTCTATCTGTCCCCATCAACATTTTTTTTAAAAGCAGCACAGCTGATTGGCAGTAAGCTGACACTCTAAGCCAATCAATAGCTTCCTATTCTTAAAAACGGCTTGATAAAGGTACGTATTATTTTCAAGCCATTTTTATGTACAAAGAGCTACCCTTTTAGAAGAATTTCGGAGAGCGGACGTGGGCAGGGACAGGGAGAAACGGCTCTGCAGAGCAGACTTGGGGTTAAACCATTTGTGAACAGTTTAACCCCTAAAGATAAGGAAGCGCCAGGGACCTCCTGGTACCATAACAATTTAATTTTGATAAAGTTGTTATGGTGTCCTTTGTGCCCCCCTACAAGCATTACCACACAATTTAAAACATGTCAAATAAATTAATATGTTTCTAATTACATGGCTTTGTGAGTGGGGAAATATTAGGTACATCCATGACATCAGACAGACCACAACCTGCAATGGGCAGAAAAATACAGGAAATTTGTGGTATTTATGAAAATATTTGGTTAAACTATTTGAAATACAGTTATTTTACTCCTGTAACCCCCCCAGTAAAGAGGTACTGTAGGTAACTACCTACTCTACCATTGTACTTGAAAACTTGTTACAAATATGATACCAAATTAACAGACGTACAAGCAATATACAGACACATGAACAAGCTTGGTTGTGAGCTAAATTGTGTTTTCTGATATTTTCAGATTTGAAATAACTAGCTAATTATGGTTAGTTTAATGTCCATGACTAAATTCTTCAACAAATGCATATCTGTTTTCAATTGACCTCACTAATAACCATTTCTCCTCTTTGATCTGATGCCTGGCTTATTGCTACAAAGTGGATGTGGTTTAATTGATGTCATTGCTTGTACATATAATCAGGATGCTTATGCCCAGTTTTAATATGCAGTGCTGTCCTTTGGCAAAATATCTAATTAAAATTTATTTAGTATGTCCATTGTTGATTTTTTTTTGATGGCTGATAAAATGTTTTCATTGCTTGTTAAGGGACTTGAAATTAGAAAAAAAACTAATTTTTATTTTTACATCAAAGTATAATACATGATACAAAGACAAGTGTGCCACATTAGGCAAACATCTTAAAGGAACACTGCAGGCTTTGTAGAGATTACAGAGCTCTGAAGTGATTATGGTACCATGAATGCCTTAGAGACCGACCTCCCCTCCCCCCTTGATTGTAGGTATTCAAATTATTTTAGAATGGTTTCATTTCTTATCTTGTGCATCTTCCCACCTCCTCTTAGCCAGGTGTGTTAGAAGCACTTGCTTAGGAGCATATGTTAGTGCTGCTAAGCTAAACCCTTTAGTGTAGGTGTAGCTCATTGGTAAAGATTGCTCTCAGCCAATGAGCTAAGCCCTGCTCTGGAGAGTGCACTGAGCTGTCACTGAGGTGCCAGATGAGGCTGGTAAGAAGTCAAACTGTTCTAACATTGTTTCACTCCTTATATTAGGGGGCACTAGGACACTTCTGGCATCATGACCACTCCAGCGTGCTTAGGGGGTTCCTTTTAGTATGTTGCTAGTAGCAAAATCTTTGAAAGAAAAATAGCAAAACTAGTTTAAATATCTAAATTAGATTTTAACTAAACATTTATTTGTAGTGAACTGACAGCCACATTTAAAGAGCAGAGGCAAACATTCACCGATCATCCACAACATTAAAACCACTGACAGGTGAAGGGAATAACATTGATTATAGTATTGCAATGTTACCTGTCAAGTGTTTGGATACATAGGGCAGAAAGTGAACAGTCAGTTCTTTAATTTCATGTGTTGGAAGTAGGAAAAATGGGCCAGCAAAAAGAACTGAGTGACTTTGACAATGGCCAAATAGTGATGGCTAGGTGACTGGTTAGAGCATCTCCAAACCGGCAAGTCTTGAGGAGTGTTTCTGGTATGCAGTGGTTAGTACCTACCAAAAGTGGTTCAAGGAAGGACAACTGGTAAACCAGCGTCAGAGTCATAGGCTCTCAAAGCTCATTGATGCACGTGAGGAGCGAAGGCTAGCTGTCTGGTCCGATAACACAGTAGAGCTACTGTAGCTCAAATTACTGAAAAACTTAATGCTGTCCATGATAGAAAGGTGTCAGAACACACAGCGCATAACAAAGAACACATATAAAGGTTTTGTGGAGTCCATGCATCAGAGCTGTTTTGGCAGTATGAGGGGGACCTACACAATATCAGGCAGGTGGTTTTAATGTTGTGGATGATTACTGTATTTTGACTTGGAATAAATTCTCAAGCACAGCTATATTTCCCAGTAGGCTATTTCACAATCATTTCTTTTAAACTAAATTAATTCATTAACTATTTAGTAAATAAAGCCCTTAAACCGTTTAGGAGGACATTTCTGGGTGTATAGCCTCTTGAAAATCCAGAACACAGTATAATGACATTCACAAATGCAGCCTATTACATGTGAGCCGAATATGTTTTTTCACCTCACTTTGGTTCACGAAAATGATATTTCAATTTCAACAACCTCTGGATGGCGAAAAAACTAAAATCAACATTTCATTACACGAATAAAATACATTCCAGTTTACAGAAAAAAAAGCAGATTTTCAATCTTGTGCATGTTAAATGAAAGCTGTTTGGTGAAAATATTATAGAATGGAGGAAAATGTGCAATTCACCTTTTTATGATAAGATAGTTAATTAACAACAATACGGGATGGCACCAAACCATCACAATATTGTGAACAATGCCAACATAAGTATACATTTTGCATTAGTATAAAATAATTAGTTTTTTTTTCCTGCTAATGTTTTATAGCTAGCCCCTTTTTCCCCAAAATCTCAAGTACTATTGCAATGATGTGTCCTCACATTTTGCCAATAGGATGTAGGAAGGCAAAAATGAATACGTTTATTGGTTGTGTATATATATATATAATATTTGCCTTTATGTTATTTATTGTGTATATATATATTATATTAACCCTGGTAAAATTATATCTGGATGGCAATCTTATTAATAAATAATAATCATACTAATTAAGTACATTGTGGCCGTCTCTCTGAAACAAATGTCCACTTACACTGAAGAAAAGGTACTGTCCCAAAAATATTTAGCCCTCACGTACACTTTACAAATAATATGAAATCCATTTAAATCCATCTGATTACCTATACCAAGAGCTGCTGTCTCTCTTTGTACTTTTAGCACAGTGATATATATATATATATATATATATATATATTTGAATTCTTTATTTCTGCAGTGCATTGAGATATAACAAATGAGCATGTGGTACCCCGACGGCATTCCTAATGTTTTTCAAGTAATAGTTGTAACAATAGGGTATGTGTTAGTACTTGCACAGTTTTGTATGTTAGACTATTAAGACAGTCAGGTTCAACTACTTGGTAGTATTTAAACAGGCTTAGACAATTCAAGAATATACTTAGATTTTAACAGGCTGAAACTTACGTTGAGTATTTGGGTCATAGTGTTATCATACATGTCCTCATATGAAGTAGTGTAGACTATGTGGTCGGTATGTATTATTTGGACATGCGAGTAGCTACATGAGAGAAGTTTGAGACATGCGTGCTAGGTGCTTGAGTGGGAGGAAAAGATATATGTGGACGTAGGCTCATATAATGCTAGGCATTCATGTATGGCAGCACAAAGTTCATGGGTGACAAGGTGTCAGTACATGTGTGGGTGTGTGGTGTTCGCTGAGTTAAACCAAAAATGTTCAACAGTTATTCTTTTAACTACTCCAGCAAGCTGGGTGCCTATTAGGTATGTCAAAAGTCACTTAGCCCACGCCTGCAGCTGGCATGTTGTTGTTCCCCATAGCGGTGTAGCCTTGTATGAGGATCATAGGTTGACGCAGAAGTCTATGTGCATCCTGTCCCTCAGCCTCTTGGTCATGAAATTCGTGTCTCACTGCGGTATATGTTAGCATAGGCCCCTGTGCAGCCTCCCTGGTGTTATGCTGTTGCGGTCTGCGCCATCGGGAGCATACCTTCCAGGTGGTTGGAGCTTCAGGTCGGTCCTGGAGATGCCGGTGATGCCTTGTCGAGGAGTGGCTTTTTTGCTTCCTCTGTCCGTTATGACGGCCCGTGGGAGAGTCGGCAGCAGACAGTCGTGGAGAGTTGTGGCTCAGTGTCAGGCCTTGTTTCTCCGAGGAGCGGCTCTTCTTGCTGGGCACTGGATGCCTGTAAGGCTGCTGAGAGGGGTCATCGGATGGCTGTAGTGGATCATGGATGGTGCGTGTTGATGGGCGCTCGGGTGCTGCGCCTAGGGGTTTCTCCCTCTTCATCGGCTGCATGTGGCCTCTCTCACCGGCTCTCTTGGGGGTTTGCCGTTTTGCCCATGCCATCTGTGCACGGAGCCGCAGCTTCTCCCAGAATTTGGTGAACAGTTCGTTGAGGCGTTTCGTGAGGTTGGTGATGCTGTCAGGGAGCTGCTTTAGGGTTGCGGGCTGGAGCTGTGGTCGTAGTGAGTACTCAGCCACCATTTTGTATGTGCCTCGTGTGTCGCTGGCCCTGGAGCTCATCTATTGCGTGGCTATCGATGCAGATTTGTTGCTCCGGGCTCCCAGCGAGGACCGGGATGTCCCCCACCGGTCCCGGGGGGGGGGGTGAGATTTGAGGGTCGAGGTGAGTCTGTAGCCGGTAAGGAGCGAGGAGAGCGGCCGTCTCTACTCTGCACACTGTCCTGTAGGCCTCGGTAACCGCTGTTTGGGTTCTCGGGTGGTCAGGCTTATGATTCGGGTATCCACAGTTGTTCCCGGGTGTCCCCAGTACGGCTCTACCCCTCTAGAGTGGATTTGTGCCAGTTATTGGGGTATTTACCCCTGAAATCGAGTATTTTGCGCAGGAGTTTGGTCTTGGCACATCCACTCAGCCTGGATGCTAGGCTCTGCCCCCAGCACAGTGATATTTAACAACATGTCAGCTACAACGTGGTATCCATTCATATTCTAACATCTAAACAACTCCAGTAAGTAGCTTGCATTTGATAGTTTCATCAATCTCACATTTTCACTTGCATTACAGGTTGAAGTTACTTTACCAAAAAATGGGTCAAAATGGAGGCACCCATTTCTCATGCCTATCACAGCATGTGAACAGAATGTAAAACGTATTTTGCCCAACACAAAGTATCTATTTGTCTAGCTTAAAGGAACACTATAGTCACCTAAATTACTTTAGCTAAATAAAGCAGTTTTAGTGTATAGATCATTCCCCTGCAATTTCACTGCTCAATTCACTGTCAGTTAGGAGTTAAATCACTTTGTTTCTGTTTATGCAGCCCTAGCCACACCTCCCCTGGCTATGATTGACAGAGCCTGCATGAAAAAAAAACTGGTTTCACTTTCAAACTGATGTAATTTACCTTAAATAACTGTATCTCAATCTCTAAATTAAACTTTAATCACATACAGGAGGCTCTTGCAGGGTCTAGCAAGCTATTAACATAGCAGGGGATAAGAAAATCTTAATTAAACAGAACTTGCAATAAAGAAGCCTTAATAGGGCTCTCTTTACAGGAAGTGTTTATGGAAGGCTGTGCAAGTCACATGCAGGGAGGTGTGACTAGGGTTCATAAACAAAGGGATTTAACTCCTAAATGGTAGAGGATTGAGCAGTGAGGCTGCAGGGGCATGTTCTATACACCAAAACTGCTTCATTAAGCTAAAGTTGTTCAGTTGACTATAGTGTCCCTTTAAAATTGATTTCCATTTCAGAATTTATGATTGGTTAGTGGTAGGCCGTGGGCTCTAAAAGCAAAACTGAAATCAGTAATTGTCTAGCCTTTACTGTTTGGACCTTCTTAAGTTACTTAGATTTTTTCACTTGTCTATTTTCCTTCTTTCAACACATGAAATTCAAGCATACAAAATTAAGCCCTGCATTCAAATTCCCACTATTCCTTGGCAGCAGCAATGACCATAGCACACATCAGCCCCAATACATACCAATAAAAACCCTGGGATATATTAGGTAGCAAGTGAACGGTCAGTTCTTGAATTTCATGTAAAAAACAAAGAACAAAAACCAGTTACTTGCACACTTTTCTCAACCCCCGTGCACATTTAAATACCTGCAGTTTTTTTTAATTTTCCAGTTTCCTGTCTCTTCCTCCCATCTATCTTGTCCATCATTTACAATTCTTGACAGCCTCATCCAAACTATAATAGGACTTTTAAAACTATTCTTACTTAGATAATAAAGTAATTTTAGCATAGCTTGATTGAGAGAAAAAAAAAACTCTACCCATTTGTCGATCTTTCGTTTGCACCCAAGGATTGGGTAATATCTGACAATCTTGTGCCACAATAGCAGTTTTGATTTTCTTTTTGACATATGTAGATATGTATTTGCTTTATCCAATCCATTTTTTCTTAAAGTAGAAATTTGTTATGATTTTTAAAGCCGTGCAGTGACTGATTGACAATCTTCCAGCAGTCAGGAAGTTCATATATTATAAACTGTATAAAAGTATATAGAATAAAGGGACAATTTTTCTTTTAAACTGGACTAGCTAGCCAATTAGTAAAGAGGAAATATAGACAAAATAATGTATTAGTTCAAGTGTCAATGAAGTGCATGAAGATGAGAGTGAATTCTAATTACGATTATTTAAAAATTATACACAGCTGTGGGAGTAATACAATGTAGTAATGGGAAGAAAATAAAATATAAGTGAGACAAAAAAAATCATCATAGAAAATCATAATGTACAACAAAGTCATTCTTGAGCAGTAATCATTATTTGAGTGGGTCATTGTTTGACTAACTCTGGTTCTTTACATAATTAGGAGTTCTCATTGTAGCACAGCTAGAATTGCAAGATGAGACTTTCCTTGACCACAAGACTATGTCTTGTCAAAGAGTGACACGGCAATAATATTAATGGTTGAAGTGGGTCAATGAAAGGTGGTTACAGTACGTATTTTGCAGGCTAAAAATGGCTAATTTAGCTTCAAAAAACCAGCTCTCCTCTCAATCAACCGAGAACTATATGTGGAATTGTAGGAGGCAAAATAGTAGTCATCCTTTGTCCTTAAATAATGTTACCCTTAATTTATCATGAATAACCTTACAGGGCACATATCTGTGACCACGACTCAATAAAATGAAAAAGTACTGCAAGGTCTTAAGAAACTTTCCACAAATTTCACATTCCCGTATTTAGGAGATGCCTTCTATCTTCATTGCTAAACTAGAAAAAGTTACTTACTAAAATACTAAATAATATATTCACTGGTAACTATGATATTGCAAATAAATAATACTATAAATATAATAATTGGACTATGTACACTTAACATAGTAGATTCATAAAACCAGTGATTTTATTTAACTCCTTAAGGACACATGACATGTGTGACATGTCATGATTCCCTTTTATTCCAGAAGTTTGGTCCTTACGGGGTTAAAAAATGAAGGTATTTATTGTGGCCAACCAAATAGTGAGGCAAGAAATATATAAAATAAATAAAAGATGGGCATACTCCCAGGGGGAGCCCCGATTCACACTGTTATCACAATATGTGAGACGAAAACCACCACAGTGATATAAAGAAATATATACAAAAATCTAGTTGTAATCAAAATTATTCAACCCCCATTGAAAATCAGGTTTATGGTCACAATTTATAGACTTCCATCTGTTTGCAATGAACAAATCAAACAAAAGCAATTGAAATAGCTCAACACAACAACTGCTTCAAGTGGTTTCCCAAATTGAACTGAAAATGCAACTTATGACTTCTCAAGTCTCAAAATTATTCAACCCCTCAATAGAATCCCTCTCAACAGCACAGATACGCAAAACAGGTGTTGCCTCAAACACACCTGATGCAACTAAGCAACGGCTTCATTAGTTACAGCAGGTGTGCTTGAGCTGGAACACTTGAAATACCTAAACTAGCTAGGGGTTTGTTGAGTGTCATGTTTGACTGTATGTTAGAAATATGGCTAAGTAAAAAGAATGGCCCACAAAGTTAAGAGAAGAGATTACACAAACAAGGAACATGATACAAACAGATAGGGAAAAAGATAGCTGGATGTTCATAGAGACACTGTTGGAATATATAGTTTGGTTCTGCACCCCTCCCTGTCCCAAGTGCCACATCTCAGGACCCTATTCAGCCTTGTACTGCAGAGAACTCGAGATGGAAGTATTTCCCCAAAAGCTTTGAATGGATGCCAGCCTCTGATGATGTGAGATTCTACTCACAAAACACGTAAGGACACTTTTCAGCATCTGTCGCAAATTGCTAAACTACCGAGTTGTATTAGAACGCAGAAAGGGAGAGCAGTGAAACGCACACGGCACCTTACAAACTTACATCCACCTGCTGGATTGTAGGACCGTGCAAATTGTGAGTGCTTTTTAATTCAAAACCTTTATTAAAGTATTACACACAGTAAGCACTATGGTTCTTCATTTTATTTTCTTATAGAACGGAGGAAAGAATTTGACACTTAAAGGGATACACCAGGCTCCCAGATCACTTCTGTCCATTTGAGTGGTCTGGGTGCCAACTCCCACTACCCTTAACCCTGCAAGTGTAATTATTGCAGTTTTCATAAACTGCAATAATTACCTTGCAGGGTTAAGTCCTCCTCTATTGGCTGTCTATCAGACAGCCACTAGAGGGACTTCCATTTTCTTAGAACACAAAAAGTGTGTGAGGACCTATGTAAGGACCTCCAGTGTCGTCAAAATCCCCATAGGAAAAGCATTGAATAATGCTTTCCTATGGGGAGGTCTAATGCGCGTGCACAGCCATTGCAGCGCATGTGCATTAGGTCTCCCCTGCTGGCTGACGTCGGCGAGGGAGGAGAGTAGGCGGAGCCTGACCCAGCACCGAGGGACATCGGTGCAGGACTCCGGTATGTCACTGAAGGGATTTTAATCCCTTCAGCAACTTGGGGTGGGGGGTGGGATGGGGGGTGGGAGGGAGAGGGGCACTACAGGGTCCTGCCAGGAAAACTAATATGTTTTCCTGGCACTGACGAATCCCTTTAAGACCATTATATATAATCTTACAGTATATTGATTTCTATACAGTGTACATATCATTGATACATCACAAATTGAAGAAGATATCACTGTTAGTACTATATTCAACAGCCTGTTCAGCAGACTAACCTCAATAGCTGGAGCTGTCTGATACAAGCTAGCATTGTATATATTGTATCAACACTTTATTGTGATACTTTTGAAAGGCTAACACTTTGATGATTTTAAGATTTGGGACTTCCATACTGAATGACATTTTGTTAACTTCAATTGAAGTTCATTAAGTTTTATCAAGTTTTATTAAGGTCCATTAATTTATAAGGTGCTGTTCTTATTTCTTAA